TAATTTATATTTTGGAACTTACAGGTTTTCCTCTGCTTTGGCAATTCAGTGGCCTCTACACGCTTTCTGTTGCAAGATGAATTCAATATTCAGACAACACAGTGTGATAACTGCATTATTGTACTGCCTTCATCTCTCTCTTTCAATTTTCTCTCCTCAATTTCCCATACAAAGACACACACAATCATTCATTATGTTGGTTAAGCTTCTTGCCTGTTGATGGGCAGGGTTTCATGTTCTGCCTCCAACAAATAGCATGCATATTTTCCATAGTTGCAATGATTGTTGGAAGTGATGAAATTCAAGAGGCTTCTCAATTGCTGTCGTGTATGGCTGATCTGGTGTATTGCACGTATGTCTTCTCTTTGCTAAGCTGGTTGCAAAATTAATTCAAAATGTCCTACTGATTTTGTTTTTGTTCCTTTTTTCCTTTTTGTAGGGTTTGTGCATGCATGCAGGTATGGAAATGAATGACTAAGTGCATGCTTTATTAGAAATTAAACTGACGTTATGAATGAAGGGTCATTTCTGATTTTGATCAAACTTGCAGACGCAACACAAGATCGAAATGGACAAGCGGGATGGCAAATTTGGTGATCAACCAATGGCTGTGCCTCCAGTTCAGCAGATGTCACGCATTGATCAACCAATACCTCCTTCGGTTGGGTATCCACAGCCTGCATATGCACAGCCCTATGGTTATCCTCCCCCTCAGGCCCAAGGCTATCCTGCTCAAGGTTATCCTCCTCCTGGTTATCCCCCGCAACCTCAGTACCCACCTGCTGATTATCCTCCGCCTGGCTATTCTAGGTAAAAAGGTTTGTTTGTTGCGAGTGCTAGTCCTCTTTTTACGTTCCTGAGTTTCGTCAACGGGGGGCATGAAATGGAGATGGCATTACATGGTAGATACTACTTGCAGGCAGGGGATGTTGACATGTTTGAACATTTGGCTTTCCAATATTTATCCAGATTTGCTGTTCCCCTGTACATTTCATTATCTATATATATATTCTTTTTCCTCCGCCCGCATTTGCGTGTATAAAGTTTGTAACTTTTGAGTGCCCACATTGTGGTTACTTAAAAAGAGCACGATTTGTGACGACATTGAGCTTTCCTTTTCACTAAGATTAGAGCAGTTGGTTTTCATTATCAAACACTGAATAAGATATGGATTGTTCAAATTGGCTTCTCCTAACTCGCCGCAAGCAATTTTATCCAGTTTTGTGGCTCGTGCCTAATTGGCTTTGATAATACCTCTGCAATTTTCAACGATTCAATCTTTTGTGCGTGTGATATCACCAATCCCCATCTCTGTAATCTTTTGGGAGTCGTTTAAAAGAATAGTAATTTATATTCTACTGTTTAATTGCCAAATAAAAATAGTGTCTTGGAATTTTATTTACTACGTTTAATTTAGTTATTAATTAAAATGTTCTAATATTGCTTAAAAATTAATAAATTTTTTAGATAACCTAAATAAAAAAAAAAAAAATTAATATGAATATCCAATTTTCTAATATATAAAATTGAACACATTAATAAAATTCAATTATACGTTTTGGGTGTTAATTTTATGTGTTAAGGTTAAGTATATTAGATACAATAATTAAGATATTTTTATTACACGTGCATTGCAGATTAATTCAGCTAATCAAAGAAGGGGTTGGTGACATATTCTAAGAGCCAAAGGAATTAACAACTTACACGCTTAAAATTTGACTTGATGTAGGAAGGCTTAGAGGGAAGGTATTGATTGATGGGTGTGTTAATTTGCCAAATATTAGCTCTAATTATTTCAATTTCAATTAATCGTGAATTCCAATATTATTAAAGATGTATAGTGCATTATAAATTGATAATAATTTACTTGATTTAATAAAATTAAAATTTTAATTATAAATTATTGATGATTGATATATAATATTTAATTTAATAAAATAAAAAATTTAAATACATATTAATAAGGTTGCTTATATATTAACCTACAAAAAAATAAAAAAAAATTAGTGTGCAAACAAAGTCTTTGGTAATGATATTCCAGCATCTCTTCTTGCTCTGTTTAAAGAAGGTGGGACTTCCATTGGAATTTAGTAATCATGAGACCAAGATGAAGAATATTAAAAACACATTTTTCTTTTCAAAAGAAATGTACGTTCACAAGGATTAGGTATATGTTATATTATGTATTTATATATATATATATATATATATATGTATGTTTGATGAAACCTTAAAACGTGTGGGCTCTCCTTAATTGAAAATTAAACACACGGGCAGTCATCATATGGGTGCCACTTGGCACCATTACTAGATTCTATATATACATGCTTGATGGGATACATCTCAGTTTGGAACACAATACATACCTATTATATAAGTATATATATATATATATATATGTATCTTTGATTGGACCCTTACCATTTTCGCATGAGATTAGTGTTTATTTACTTCCAATCATCTTTTCTTAATTCTAGAATGTATCATTCAAAAAAATATTAAATAAAATTGAAGGAATCCCATCTCTTTTTTTTTTTTTTTGTTTTTTCTGTTTATGAACAATATAAAAATCTATCCTACCATTAAAAACCAATTCAAGCAATCATTATTTGACTCTCTTCCACAAAGCCTCTCTATATATCTTCAAAACACTTAAAATGTGAGTCCATTAATTATTAATTAGGAGAGAATTAAGGGCCTGCATATTCAATAGAAGGATTGGCCCCAGCTCAATCACACAACACAACACATACATACATTGAATGATTGGAAAAAGGAAACAATTAAAAAGCTAATAAAAGAAACTTGTTTCTTTATTTTTTCTTTACAAAACGAAAGTTGAAAAGAATACAAATATTAATGATGGTAAGATATCTGATTGACAGAAGAAAAACCAGAATAATCAAATTCATTACTTCAATTATCATCCCACAAACACAAAAATAATACAATCTAATTCCATCTCAAATTTATAAAGAGATGTAAAAATGGAAATCATTCAATAAAAAATGATTGGTAACAAATTTGGAATCTTAATATTAGATAGTTTTAACTTTTATAAAAAAAAAAAAAATATGTATGTGTGCATAAATGAGTTACAGTAATAAATTGTTAGCTAGCTTAAGATTGACCGGTACTCAGCAATTAATTATTTCTTGTTTCTAAGAAAGATGAATGCAACTCCCACTCACGCCCACCAAAATGAATTAATTGACTGACTATTCAATTATAATGCACATCGATTAAACAAGAAAAACTATGTAATAATTAAATTAATTTTTTCTACTTTCTTTGTGGGATTATGTACATCAAGCAGAGGAATTAATTTTCTCTTTTTCTAAATAATTGAAGGAGAAAAGAAAAATAATCAGCGGCTATAATCCGGGAACGTGAGAATCTTCAGCAACAAAATCGGGAATCCCCGAAGCAGCCCATAATCTCTCGTTGAAAGCTTCCTGCAACTCGTCCGGAATGAATGGCGCCCGGCAGAGCGGACAAGTCATCTGGTGGTAAGCCATCCAACGGTCGAGACAGCTCTGATGGAAGATGTGGCGGCAGTTTGTGAGCCGTCTGATCTGGTCCTGGTCCTCGAACTCGTAGAGACAGACGGCGCAGGATTCAGGGGGATCCAGAAGTTCGGAAAAGCTGACGACCGGAAGGATCTCGCGGACGAGGAGGGCGGAGACGGAGTGGAAGCGGGAGTCGGGTAGAGAAGAGGAATCGGGGGAGACAATGTCGGGTTGGTGGAAATCGGGTAGACCCAGTAGATGGAAGAAGATGGAGATTAGTTTTCGAATCAAACCCAGAAGGGAGAGGGTGTGGAGGAGTAGTTTGGGGAGAAGGAGCTCGGTGTAGCCCACGGGAAAACCCATTGTTGTGGTTCTCTGCAAGTGCAAGCGCCAACCACTGAGGGATATATATATATAAAATCTAGTCGTAGTTAAATGAAATGACTGAAATGGTATGAATTTTGTACAAATTTACAGAAAACGGCGTAACGGGATATGTTATATAAATATTATATTCCCAACGTGAGAATGTGAGAGAGCAACTTTATATTATTTTAATAGTAAACAAAAATTTTAAAAAAGTACTCTACTGTTAAACACAATTTTGTAACATTAAAAAGAATTTTCTCTTAAAAATACATAAATTTTTTTTATTGTAAATTAAATAATATATATATATATATATATATATATACACACACACACACAATAATTATAACAAATAAGAGAGAGAGAGAGAGAATAATTATTTTAGATTAATAATAAAAAAATAAAGAAAAGGAGAGGCAAGAGCATATGGAAATGTCCAACACGTGAAAATATTGAATTATAATGTCTCTTTCCCTCCTCTTCTCTTCTTTAGGCTTATCTCTTGCCTTGAAAATCTTCTTCCACAATTAATGCCTGTCTTTTTTTTTTTTTGGTTTTAATAGGGAGACCACACAATGCAGGTATAAGAATACCTAATTCTATATGTATGCGTATGCGTCTGTGTGTATGTATACATGGGTATATGTTGATCAATCATGGAATAAACGTACAATGAAGGGGCGAATGCAGTGGGAGTAAGAGTTAGGGATTAGGAGCATATTGGGGGAATGAGGAGAGATGGCATATGGTCTTATGCTTTTGCCCCCACCACCTCTATTCCCATTTTCACATCACTACATCTTTCCTCATTCCTTGTCTCTCTCCCACTCCTTTCCTTTCTCTTTTATTTTTATATCATTCATTCATTCATATTAATTCTACAAAGGTATATGTATATATATATATTTAGGAGTCTATTTCATAGTTTTACTACTTATTAAAATTACGTAATATTCATAAATAAAAATAGAAAGAATAAAAAAATTGACGATGGAATAAACAATAATAGTAAAAAATTAATTAAATTATAACACAATTTCGTTAAAAATTGTAATTAATATTGATAAATATATTTTATATGTTTAAAGTTTTTTTAATTAAAAATTATGAACATATTAAAATTGTTTATATTTATAAAAAAAAAATTAGTTTGATAAAAAATAATTATCATTCTTATTTTATATAAAAATAAATAAATTATTAAACTTATTTATCAACTAATGTTTATCAAAATATTATAAAAAAAGTTTGAGGTTTGCACTGAAGAAAATAGTTTATGTATGATTAAAAGAGTATTTTATAATCGGTTGCAAATTAAGTTATCATAAATAACTTGGGACTTCTTATTAAACTATGTGTTTAGGTCTTTTAAGTACAATACTTAATATCTCTGTGTCAGGAACTAAAAAAATGATGTTGAGACTATTTAATAATAGTTAGAAAACTAGTTAATTACTAATCAATCAATTAGTAAATGTTAATAGTCCATCTGAGTTTCATGCTTTTATTTTCAAGAACCAGGATCAAGTTTATTACTTTT